GGACTTAGGTTAGTCATGGCCAAATTTGAGTCACATCTGCTTCAGCGGGTCTCTGCTGTATTATTGGAAGTGTTAATAACAGAAGCAAACAATGCCAAATAGGATTTAAACTTTGAAATTCAGTGGGAGCTTTCCAAGGTGCTGAACTGTATCTCCATAACAGATTCAGGACAATAGACAGCTCATTTAAAATTTAAAATAGCTAGAATAGGTTCACCATCTGATGGACGTGGGAGCGATTAGCTGTCAGTGGTCCTGGAAGGGGGGAGAAGGCTTTAGCAGCCCCCAAAGTAACTTCTCCCTTCAAGTGTGCATGTGTATGGAGATTATCACACCAGTACCAATTCCACGACAATTGTGCTATTGGAAGATAATGGAAGCATAATGCTATAGTGATCTATAGTTCTGCATAATCACACAATTGGCTATAATAACAAAATGAAAACAAAGCAAAAATGCGATCACGTTCTGCATACAAAAGCCGACCGTGATACTGTATCATTAATAGATCATGATTGGATGTCTCACACATGCAGACTTTTCGTGCTACTACACATGTCTGAATATTGTATTTCCATCTCAAACACAACAAAATAAAATTCCCATATTTAAGAACATAATATATATCCAGTTCAAATAAAAGAGTGCATTATACTTGAAAATAAGAAAGAAATCTACTCTGAAAACGATTGTAGTAATAAAAACGAATTGCCTATGCCAAAGTGCACTCTGGAAAAAGGTCCCCAATAGCAATCCCCGATAGCGCAAATGCATCATTAATACCTTCTGCACCTTTGCAATAGTGCTTCATTTGCACTATTGGCAAACCATTCACAGGATTTCCCCATGAATGATTAGTTACAAGATAATCACAGGTTATTCACGGGACAACTACAGGATAAGCACAACGTCATGCGAAAATCTTGGCGTGATCACATTATAATGATGGGAGCATTACTTTTTCTCCCGTTTTTCATCCTATGTGATAATCTCCAAATGTGGGAATGCATATACATAGACGTGTGTATGGAGGCATGCATGCAGTCGACACTGGCTGTGAGACTGCACACCTAGGGCAAAAGTGTTACAATGCGCATAGATGAAACACTTTTGACCAACCAGCATATTTACACTTAGATTAACATCACAAACATGTCTGTACAAATTTAAGACAAAATGGCAAATTCCAGCTTTTTTCAGAAAATTGTTAGTTTGAGACTATTTTGTATGGAATTTGGTGTGAAACATATTTTAAAGATTTTAGGCACCACCAGTCATACTTTTCCATTGTACATAAATTAAATCAACAGCATCAACTAGGAGCAGCGCCAGGTATATTTACTAATCATCTATATATCTTTTGTCACTTTCTGTCTCTCCTTTCCTCCAGTGAACTCATAGTGGTATACATGGCTCTTTTCCTTGTCACTCTCACAACAACCCTGTGAGGTAGGTTAAGCTGAGAGAGAGCAACTCATCCACAGTCCTGGCTTAACTGGCTTAATGGACAGTCGTACTTTGATTTCCCAACTACAACTCTTGACACAAAACTGAAAGTGGACCTGCAGGCATTGATACCCGCACACATCTTCAACATTAGGACCACCCTGTGTGGTCATTGATGGGACTGGCTCATGTATTTCCCAGTTCCTCCATGCTATGATGTGTTCTGGTTGATTATTGTGTGTTATTTTAACCTAAGATGTTTTAATTAGTGTTGGTTTAATACTTTTTTAAGGGGGAGTGGGTATTGGGTTTATTGGGTATTATGCTAAATTCCACAAACTCCTTGTGAGTTGCTGGGAAAAAGAGGAAC